AATGGCTTTACAATTTAATTATCGTTAACCAGAGCTAACAACAAACAAAAATGCACATGAGGCTTTTTTTTTTTTTTTTTTTGATTGATGGTTTGTTGGTCTACCTTTTAGTGATATCACATACCCAAGGAGTTCTCAAGACATAGGTTATTTTTCCCTTTAATACATGATTAAAAACATCTTCAAAGTATAAATATTGAGTTATTCTATCAATTGCATTTACTATTTTTAAACTGGTCCTAAAATCATCAAGGGTAATATTTGTAAGGCAGTTTTGTTAGGAGCATTTCTTTAAAGTGTCATAAATTTTAAATGAGTACTTTTCCCCAAAGTTCAGAGGCTTCAAAGAGAAAATTTTATTATCATTGTACATAAAAACTAATGATGCTCTATAACATAAGTAAATCAATGGTATAAAAGACAACGGAATAAAATTAAATAGATGAGATTCTAATGCTAATTTTATACCATACCATGTCACAAAACATTTGCAAGCATGAGTTAAGTACACATACTATGTTGTTCAGAAATTACAATGTTAATATAGGTCATGGTATGCCAATAATATTCTCCATATATTGTAATTGTGTATTGCTTAAAATAAGAAAACGGTGTATTTAAATGAATCTTTTTTTTTTAAAAAAAAGGAAAATTTCAAAGACATCTAAGTCAAAGATTACAGTTCCTCTTTTCAACTGTGAAAAATAGTCGTCAGCGTATAAACTTGTCCGAGATAGGTAGCACATCAAATATAAAAACTGTAATAGTAGGACTTATGGAAAGCACTAATAATGTGTCCACAACCATCTGATCATTCTAAAATCAAATGTATAGCACAATATAATTGTCAACTACCCATTTAAACGCTCTCAACAATGTTGGAAATGATACCACCTTATTTTCTACCTGTTACAATTCTATTTTCATACTATTTTATCTTAAAGTGTATATTAAAAATTTTAGATACTTTGTATTCAACTCAAAAGAATAAAGTACATACTGAAACTTTCAAAAGCTATAAAGAGAGTATTCACAATGTACTACTAATCTACTCTCAGTAATGAAAGAAACAAACCAAAAGTAATTTGTCTTAAATGCCATTAACTCCTCTGATGTTCATAAAATGATTATTTTATACAATCTCAACCCTAAAAGCTACATTGGACACTGAATTTTCCCTAACTCCAAAAAAAGGTATCTTGGGGCCTTTCCTTCACTATAAGAAAAAAATCACTTACATTCTGCTTTTTCATGATTTTAAAAATTTTTTTGATATATAAATGGCTAGTAACTAAAAAAATATGCATAACCCAAGTTATACAGTGATAAAATGAAGATGTACTGAATCTAGGATTTAAAGTTTCTAATTTCAACTTAATAGTTCTAAAGGAAGTAATTTATATCAAACACAAATAATTTTTATAATCACAAATATAGTAAATCATGTACAAGTATATACAGAAATCACTGCGAAGGATTGTTATTTGACTAATATAATGAGCATCTCCAGGATCATATAACAATGAAATAGGAACAAGCTGTGAAGTGATCTCAAGGCTAAGATTTATGAACACATCTATTTTATACATCCTTTACGATTCCCTACCAAAAATGTATTCAGTTTTTCCAGTAGTCACCTGAATCATGTATTAAATAATTCTAAATTACAAAACCAATCTATTATTAGGAAAACTAAATACATCTTCATATGCTAAATAAAATAACAAAATAACACTATGATTATTCAGAGAAGATGTATAGCAATTTACTTCCCAAAATGAGAGTACGTTTTTAACTACAAGGTAAAACTTTATGTAACTTATTTATGAAAATAAAATATAAATAAATAATATTAGACTGCTTTAACCTAATAAGAAAAATTAAATGGTTTTAAACCAGTAATAAATCAATATTCTTTAAGATTTAGATAAACAAAATAGGTTAATGAATTAATTATATATCACAATGAAAAACATATCTACTTGCAGTTTGTTTTATTCCATTACAACAATTGTAAAATGCAATTCCGCCTCACATAATTTCTCAAAATTATTTCATTTAATATGACATATTGAAATATACAATGCAATGATCAGCTGTATGACTCTAAATTCCTACCAATTAACATGGCATAAATGTTTTCTACATTTCAAAGTTAAGTTTTAAAAAATCAGAAAGGCAAGCCTGCTTAAAATAGTTCAAGCATATAGCCTAAGCAAATAAATAAATAAATAAATAAGAAAGAGCTAGAAAGGAAAACAGATAGGATTAATCTGAAGAGGTGATACTGACTACAATAAAGCAGTGCATATATTACTTGTATTGAAATGTATTAAATGTCCCCAAAGTGTTTCCATATTCTGTGTTATAAGCTCTGAAGAAAGTTTTTCACAAATATACTATTTTAACTAAACCTTATGGATACAGTTACATTCTAAAGCTGTTGGCCTGTTTCTTGAATGAAACCGACAATCACACCCAGATCTATTCTGTTTCAAAACTTAAATAATTTGAGAAAATCTATTGGGTTATACAATTAAAGTACACCTTTTCCCAAATATATTCTCTTATCAAACCAAAACAATGCTTCATAGAATAAGCATTTAGTATGTTCACTCTAATAGAACACAAAAATTATATGCATATATATGTGTGTGTGTGTGTGTATATAAATAAATATATATATATATATATAAATAAATGAAACAGAAATAAGTGGGTTTCCAAATGATAACATAATTCTACAAGATTTTCCTTGTATCTCAGCAACATAAATCACAGCTTTTTATTTTCGCGTGTCTGAGATGTGCAATGCAAGAATTCCTAATATATAAATAAATTATGGAAGTTGAAAGGAGCTAAGAAGATGTTATGCTGAACAATATCAGAACCTTAGATAATTCCATAGGCTTATGGTCAAGTATGAACAGAAAGACAGTTAAGTAAACAGAAAATGAGAATATGTCTGTCCAAATAGGTAAATAACATCACTGCAATCACATTTTAATACAAACTGTTCAGAATTCGTAAAGCTTCTTATATACTACAAGGTTTATTTTATCCTGAAAATTGATTTCGTATTGTGTGACTTGGTCTCCACCTGTTACAGGCAAAGTATAAGCCTTCTTTTATTCCGACACTAGGTTACGTCACTAGACACAAAATTTTATTCAACTCATTCCAGCTATCCGTTTTATCCAACAGATATTCTCACTTTATACAAATAACAAGCCTTAGACCTATAAATAAAATAAGCAATTTCCGTATAATAAGGAAAAAATGCACAACTAAGTGGACTAAAAACAAAAGATCTAATTTTCCGTGCACCCTTTCCAACCTACTGAAAATAAACTATATTCAGATGAAAAGGCATTTAATTTACTATTTGGAATAACCTTGATAAACATCAATTTACTGTAGCATCCCTGCACATCTGATACCACCTCATGTATAATGCAAAAAAATCTATTTCATTTTCGTCTATTGACAGTGAATTTAATTTACCAGTGCATCTCTTTTCCTAGAACTATCATGTTATTAATTCTGCAATCAAGCTCTTTTGAGTCTTTTTATTTGTACTAAAGGTTTTCACAATTAAGCATTGATTTTTTTCATCATAATATACCTTTTAAACATATGAATGAGAATATGTTAGCAAACTTTCTTAATGCATAACAAAAGTTTCAGAGTCAAGAAAAGCTCTCTGCAAAATGACACTTGGAGAAAACAAACTTTAGAGGAGTATTATATTTGATAGATTATATTTTAATTTAATAAACTTAATGTTCACCAAAATGTAGCATTTAAATTATGCAATCAAATGATAGTTTCAACAATTCTACAACCTTCTTATCCAGTATAAAAGCACATTTCTACCACCAAGCGATTGACTATGAAATAAAAATTCTCCAAATGTTCTGCGTATATTCAGACCAGATGTCTTTGCTGTATTAAAGAACTCTTACTGAAATAGATCACTGAAAGCAAATCAGCTTTTCTTTTTCACCAGAAAAATAAAAATAATCTGTATAGACCCCCTTAGCACCCAATTATTTTTTTTTCTCGGTCATAAAGATAAAATAGCCCCCAAAATTGTCACCCTGCTAGCTAGTTCTAAGTAATAGCAACTGAGTCAGTATGTCTTATCTAGGAAAGACACTATGCAATTATGTTTTCCAGTTAAACTTAAAATCCATTGAATGTATAGCAAAATCATAAAAAAAAGATGGACACGCAGAGCTGTATAACACTTGATATAAAAAAACACAGTGAAAACTAGCAACAATAAAAAATAGTACTGCCTAAGAAACTTGTCATATTCCAGTGGGTTACTATATCACACAAACTGTTAACATACTTTAATCATATATACAGCTCTTAAGTAGCACAAATTTTGAAGCATTATTGTACTTCTTATATAATATACTCAATATATGTGTCACAAATACATTTTAAAATGCAATATTTTAAAAAATTGAAGAGGCAGCACTTGTCCACTTCACTCCAGGGCCAACAAACAAAGCAATGAAGCAGAAAGATGCACATAATGGATTTAGAAGTAAATGGTCCATTCTTTTAGAAGTCTCCCTCCCCACCTCCCTCCCTTTTTTGCTAAATTCACTCTTGACTAATTGTCATTACAATGATGTCTGAAAACTTCAGAGGAATCCTATTTCCTAATGACAGCTGTACAGGTTTCTAATTTTTAAATTCTGAAGGTTTACCACCCCTCCCAATAAGAAAATCTTTTAAAACAACAAAAAAGAATAATCTTACAATTAGTCTAAATCACAGACTCAAAAAAATTTTATCAATTATAGAAACTAGACATAATCAGCAGTAGAAATAGTCTCACTTATCCTCCACAATATACTCCAAGAAAGCAAACCTATGAAGTCTCCACAAATGTTTAAAAATGTCTTTGAAGACATCACACAACACACGAGATCTTCTGTCTTTCCCTTGGGGAGTCATCAAAAATCTCTTTACCATGCACCTACCTGGATAAAAATCTTTGGACTTAGACAGCTTGATGGTGGCTCCCGTTTCTTTTTGCAATTGAACAATTGTCTGTCCTCCCTTCCCAATTATAGATCCAGCAGCATAACTAGGTATGAGAACCTTTAGAAAATACTGGCCGTCTTCTGAAAAATGCAAAGAAATATACTTGGTTAACATATTTTAAACTTTCTATCCCATCTCCACCCTTCAGAGTGGAAAAACAGCAATTAAAGAATTGGCTAGATGGCTGCAGAGGACATGGGGTTAAATTTTTTAAAGAACAAAAGTAAGCCAATTACACAAAATAAGTATGTTCAAAATGTTTCCTATTTTTTGGATTTATACTTTCACACTTGGAACTAAAATCTTAACATGTTCTATTATTTTGCAGCAGTGTAGAAACTGATGACTAAATTCCAGTTATTCCAAACATGGAAGTCTTCCAGTTTTATCTGTGGTTACTATGGCAAAATGAAATAACAAAACTTCAGAGATTTTATAAAGAGACAAATCTTCACTTAAAATATTGAAAAAAGAAAGAAGTCCAGCTCTGAAAATAGTGATGAGTTATTTGTTTGTCATTAGCAAACACTGTAAGGACTACAATTAGCCACTGTCTATATCCTACTCAAAGTATGCAAAACAATCATTCCCCTTCCAAATAATCCACCCAAACTGAAGGGGTGTATTCCAAGCCTTCAGTAACCGCCAGGAAATAACTCAATGTGATGTGAACTGACAAATCTAAGTAATCCTGGTACATTTCTTTAGCAAGACTTCTTAGTCTACCATGATCTTGTTTAAGCTCATTAATTAAAGGACCCTAAGAAGATTTTCGCTAATATTAAAAAGCTTAGGAACCATTCACATTAGATTCACTTAAAAGTGACTAGATAATGTTCCTTCTTAAAATAATATAATTTTTGAAAGGGGGTGGATGAAACAAGAAAAAGGGAAATGAAATGTTTCAGAAAATAAAACCAGTTCCAAAAACTTTAATTTCCTTCAGCCTGATCATGTCTTAAATACTAAACACCCCGCCCGGTAAATCCAGTTTCCTTATATGAATGAAGGTTCCAAATTTTGCAGGTGTGCCATTCACCAGACCCCCCTCCGTCTCTAATGCACATGCTGGAGATAAATTTCACCTCTGCCTCGATGCATTGGGTGCATTGTTAAGATGACTCCAGTACAAATGAAGAAGCGATACCGGTCCCGTTATAACTCATCTTCCAAGGAAGCGCAGGATGTTAACTAACAAGTCACCGTACCAGGCACCCCCACCCTCGTATGCACACCCCTGAAGACAAATCAATGAGATATTTGCACCAGCAATGTAAGTGCGGTAACAGCATGCACTCATCAAGATTTTGCATACTACTTGTGGCCCAAAGCAAGGGGATGGAGAGAGAAAACTCTCTGGTGCCCCAATCATTTGCAATCCGCTACCCAAGTGCCATTTATTTATTTATTTTATCAGACTGTTAAATGCAGCGCGCATCTTCGGGCAGCCATCACCTCACTCGGGGGTCATCCCTCCTCCTCCTCCTCCTCCTTCTCCTGAACAGACCCCCTTGCCCAGGTGTAGGATCTTTAAATTGTCAGCCTCTGGACAGATTAAATAGAAAGATAGATCTAGTCCGAAAACCCGGTCGCCATTTTGATGAATGATAAACACAGAAATGGAAATGTGTCCGGGACGACCAGGCACGGGGCAGGTGCAGGGGAGGGGGCGCGAGGCAGGGGCGCGAGAGCCGCCGGGTTCGGGCTGGAGGTGTCCCGGCCACGCGAGGGAGGGAGGACGGCTTGGAGGGAGAGAGGCAGGGGCGGGCGGCGGGGGATGGGGCCAGCGGGGAGGTGGAAGCGATACCCACCGCCCGTATTGGTCCTCTTGGTGCTGCCGGCTTCAGGGGGGGCTTCCAGCGGCCTTTTCCGCGAGTCCGGCGGGTCCAGGTCTATGGGAACCCCAGTGTGGGTCCCGTTCTGCTGGATGGGAGCTGCCGCCATCATGTTTGCAGTTCCTGCCGCTGCTACGGGGAGAAGGTTCTCCCTTTTGTTTTGGCTTTTTCTTTTCTTTTTTTGCGTTTGGGGTTTCTTAAGGTATTTGTTTTAATCGGATCAATAGAAATCTCTTTCGGAAAGAAAGCAATGTTGCTGGTTTGTTCTCACTGGGGAGGGGGCAGGGCTGAGGAGCAGCTGCAGTGCAGTGTCAGAAAGGAGACAGGGGAATGGAGGGGGTGTGAGAGACGGAGGGTGAAAGAAGGAGAAGAAAGGAGAGAGGGGGAAGAGAGTGGAGAAGGGAGAGGGGCGAGTGAATGAGCGGGAGGAGGGGAGCGGGGAGGACGGGCAGAGGGAGTGGGAGAGCGCGAGGGCTGGCGGGGCGCAGGGAGAAGCCAAGGAGGAGGGGAGCGTGAGGGAAAGAGTGAATGAGCAGGAGGAGGGGAAGGAGGTGGAAGCGGAGCGCGGAGCTAGCGGCGGAGGTGGGCAGGAGTCGGGAAGGAGCGCGGCTATCCCCGCGCCGCGCTAGCGCTGCGCTCGCTCCCGCTGCTGGTGCTGCCGCCGCCGCCGCTGTCGGAGCGGTTCTGGCGTTGCCTGGGCTGCTCGGCGCTGCTGCTGCTGCCGCCCGGTCTCGCTCATTATTTCTCCCGCTTATGGAGGGAGGGGGGGGAGCGGGGAGGGAGGGGGATGGCTGCGAGGGGAGGGTAGAGAGGGGTTGAGTTCGTAGACTCCCACACACTTCGCGCTCGGGTCCCTGCCTCTCAGCAGCGCCACCGCCGCCGCCGCTGCCGCCTCCCAGC